CAGTGGTAAGAAAGCTTTAAGCAGCCACTTCTGGCCCAGGAAACACAACTAAATATATTTTCTAAAGCCTTGAAGCATGCCTGTTAGGACTCTACATTGGGGGTGGGTTCATTTGTCCACTTGTGATGTGTGGCTCAGACAGCCTTCTGATTGGCTCATGCAGCCCCCCCTCTCTGTATGGCAATGAAAAGAATGCATTCTTGAACCTAGAGAGAGTTCCTGGGAGAGATCAGACAACCCCTGTCTCAGCAAACCGCCTTTTTCCTTTCTCTCTCTCTCTCTCTCTCTCTCTCACGTGTCTGGCATTAGTTGACACTGCAGGGCGGTATCTAGAGGACGAAGATCTCACACACACAAACATGCACGTACTGAAAACAGAGAGACACGCTAACATGCACATACAGGCAAATACAGTTCATGCATACGCTCACATAAAACAACTTTTTAGGAACAGATTAAAAAAACAAGATATAACATGTGAATTAGTGAGCTTCAGTAGTGTTGATAGGTGGATTTTGTTACCATAGAACTGAGCCAGGCTAGCTGTTTACCCCTCGTTTCAGTCTTTATGTTAATTTAATCTAACCATATTACCAAACAAACAACATAAAAGTATCAATCACCTCATTCAACTCAAATCTATTTCTGAAAATGTTAAAACAGATTTTAGGAGGGATAAAAGTTGGAATAGTGACGCCGGGAACAAAATAATAGAATAGCAAAAAAATCGAATTAGATATAAAATATTATTTTGCTAATCCATGTATGAACTCCACTTATTGTGTTATCCATGATAGACTTGTAAGACTTTGAATATAGATATTACTGTTTTTACTTAAACTGAATAACATCATTTGTGCTCCAAATCCTCAGTAAATCCACCTCCACAACGCAGTAAACATACCAGTTTTACTTCTCTGTCACACCTCTACACATACAATAACATTCTGCAAATTCTCTCTCTCGCCTTTTGTCCTATCTCCATATTCTCTCTGTACAACCCCCCATGCAGCCAGTCTCTCCCCCCTCCCTTTCCCCCTCTAGTTGGCTACTTGTTGCTCCCTGTTGAATGACTCAGTTCTTAGAAAACCCAACACGTGTTTCCTCGTTCCCACTCTGGCTGCCTGCTGCTGAGTGTGTGTGTGTGTGTGTGTGTGTGTGTGTGTGTGTGTGTGTGTGTGTGTGTGTGTGAGTGTGTTCAGTGTGTGTGTGTCCATTAGCGACTCTGACAAAGTGAATAGTCACATGTTCAACAGTTACACAGTGCACATGTGCGTAAATATTGATTGATAGCAGAAATGAATCCAAAGAGTCATGAACTGTATTACATGTTGTGACTGGAGTTTCATGCACACACACACACACACACACACACCACAAAACCCACTCTCTCAAATTCCTCGAAAGACATTCCAATTACTCTTTTAGTGCTCATATGTTGAGCAAGTAACCGTGTGCGCTGTGTGTGATTGTGTTACATTACTATGTTGTGAGTGTAATGGTGTGGGGGGCTGGTTCTTAGAATCATTGAGCAACCTTAACAACAACAAAAAAGCAATGAGACCCAGCCAAGCAAGCTTTTGTGTGTATTTCTCTAAAGTAGGAACTCTGTGTCCAGACTCGACTCTGAGGTCAGGGAATAGCACCTTACATAATCGTTCTATAATCTTATTACGGAAGTCAGTAACGTATACAGTTGAAAAGAACACGAAACCTTTAATAATTTGATATAATTTTCTGCCAACGTCCAGTGGTGAACTGAATCGGTTGTGTCTGTTTGTGCAGCAACAATCTTTCTAACTTTAATTGGATTGTTTTCCTGAAGGAATTTTGATTTGCAGCCATGCACCTTAAAATAACAGGAAAACACTTATGACTGGCTTTACTGCTCAGATTATTCTTAGGAGCATATTTTGGTCTTGCAGCATCATCGCTGTTGAGTATGAGTGAACATCTACATGCCTATTTGAGCAGATCTAAGCATGTCTGAAAGTGTTTGCCTGTTGCCAAGATAGAAATGATTCCATTATATATTTTGCTATTTGGTATTTCTGATTAATCTCTTGTCATTATGCTGCACTCTGTTAAGTCAACTTCTCTCTCTGAGTCTGTCTCTTTCTTTTACACAGGCACACATTTGCATGATCTCTTTTTGTTTACAATTACAGTCCCTGAATCAGTATCTGTCTGCGGCCTTTTTCTATTTTTTTAAAGGGCATATTCAAATATGTACAAGCACATTATACCAGGAGTATAATACCAGCCATACATGTCTTATCTGTCAGCATAATGAGGCAACTTCATTACTGACTGAGTGAGCTGGAAAAAAATCACATAAGCTATACTGTAAGCTATACTGTACATACATTAAACATATTATTACTTGCTATCTCCTTGCTGGTATCAAGGCGGCAAACCGGGGCCGTCAAGAGAGACTGGGAAGAGACCTCAACACCAACAACACTAAAGATATGTGGAAGGCGATCCAAAATGTCACAGGCTATAAAAGCAGGAGCTCCACCATCATGTGTGAGGGTACGTTGGCAGATGAGTTGAACACCTGTTATGTCCACTTTGATCTCCTCAACAGTCAGCTATCAAGTCTGCCCCGCCTCCAGAGGACTGGCCACGCTCAGTATCCAAAGCGGATGTGAGGAAAACCCTGATAAGAGTGAAGATGAGTAAAGCTGCAGGGCCTGATAACATCCCTGGTTGTGTACTAAGAACATGTGTCAACCAGCTCACTGATGCCATCACTGATATTTTCAACGTATCACTGTCCCAGGAGAGTGTTCTCAGCTGCTTCAAGACAGCCACCATCGTTCCTGTCCCTAAAGAGTCGGCAGTGTCCAGTCTAAATAACTGTTGCACTCACCCTCATTCTGATGAAGTGCTTTGAGAAACTGGTTCTCTGTTGTTTGTTTTTGCTCAGCCTTCAACACAATCTCCCCCATGAAACTGATTGCTAAATTTAGCACTCTTGGCTTGAGTACTTCACTCTGCAATTGGTTATTAGCCCACCTCACAAGCAGACCCCAGGCATTTCGGATTGTCAGCCAAGCCTCCTCCACTCTAGTGTTGAACACCGGAGCCCCCCAGGGCTGTGTGCTCAGCCCCCTCCTGTTAAAGCTGTACATCCACGACTGCTATCCCAAACATGAAGAGAACTCTGTTGTGAAGTTTGCAGATGACACTACTGTCACCGGCCGGATTACAAACAACAAGTTCCTCTGCATATAGAGAGGAAGTCAAGAACCTTGCAGAGTGGTGCCCAGAGAACAATCTATTGCTCAATGTCAGTAAAAAAACAAGGAGCTGATTGTTGATTTTAAAAAAAAGGAGGCAAAAATGCACACCCCTGTCTACATCAATGGAGCTGAGGTGGAGCATGTTAGCAGCTTTAAGAATCAGCATCACAAACAATCTGACATGGTCATCACATATCTCCATCCTGGTGAAGAAACGACTACAATTTAATTTCCTTGTGTAACCCTGTCGTACAATGACAAAATATAAACCTTGTAACCTTCTATCAGTAGTGTCAATATGTATCAAATTACATCAGTATTTTCCTCCCTTAGGAATAGTTTGATAGTTTGAGCTTTGAGCGTGTATTTGCCAAGGTCTTGGAACTATTCCTTTCAATTGTGGCCAAACTGAAGCTTCCTGAAAGCTCACCGTATTCCACAAAGATAAGGTACACTGTTGCAGTTGCAGAGTTGTGGTAAATGGGATTTCTAGGTTCAGGACAGTTTAATGACTTGCTACATTTAGCTAAAACCAGCACAAGCTTAACATTCTGGATTTGCTTAAATGAAGTCTGCTATTTGGGAATCAAAAAATACTAAGAATAATGAAGAATGTATTGGTCTGGACTCAATGCGTCAGGGCAGCAGGGTAGATTTACATTTTGAAAACTGAGACACAGTTGGTACGTTGCACAACTACAGATGCTATCAAGTCTTCTGAATGTCATTGCTATTCTTGTCTTCACTGCTACTAGACTTGTATTGCTTTATAATAAGAACACAATATTGTTTACTGTTGCTCTTCTGTCAGTTATACGGTGAGGAATATGCCCAAACATTTACTGCTCTACTCTGTGGAATCTAAGATTGTTTTATATGTTTTATAAATGTTTTGGTACATCATCTAGTTTCGGTATCTGGATTTTCGCTAGTTGTTTCCTCTTCTCCTCATAGTTAGTTAAATAAGGGAAATAATAGAGGATGTGATTTCAAAGCATTCACATTAAGAGGAATGTAATGATTTAATTAAACTTCAGCCTTACAGCAGTAATCTTGTCATCCCTATGGAAGATTTTATTTTATTATTATTTATAAATGTATTATTTTATTTATTTATTACGATTGGAATGATTCTTTTTTTATTGTCCACTTTGAGTAACACAATTACTGAGACAGAGATTAGAAATCCGAACTATAATAAAACATCAAAGCAGCTTTGCAGCGTCTTACCTGCTCAAAACATCTTCAGCATCAGAGAAAAACAAAATAAACAAGGTGTAACTTTCTAATAGCATCCCTTATAAAGGGTTTACAAGTTGTAACTAGCAGCGTTATTAACTGAGCTTACGACAAATCAGGTGTCATGCTGAGTGGGGAATGAACACAGCCACAACAAAGCAACCCACAATAGTTCTTTAAAATGGGTTATAGGTGATCTAAAACATATCAGTAAATAATTTATAGCCATTAATTACAACCGGTAAATCCTTTGTAAAACCTTATTGTACTGTAGTAGACTCACATGAATTGAAATAATAGCAGCCAAGGATGAGGAAATACAGAAATAATACAACATCACATACAATCATAGATAAGCCTAATAAATGAATAAATAAATAAATAAATCTAATTGATTTTAAGAGGGACATTTTCAGTCAACATTGTGTGACGTCATTGCTGCCTCAGCCAACCAGATCGCTCTGTATTTGTAGTCCGGTGGCGGTGGGAGGAATAATTTAACAGTGGCTTAAATAGCGAAGCAGCCTCGAGCGGAGATGTCAGGATCTGATGTCAGCAAAGCGTTACAGGCAATGTGTGATCTGAAGACTGACACGTAACGGACTAACACTGTAGAGGACGTTTTGGTGGAAAATTTGGGTGGCGGAAAGATTTCGGAGCGAAAAGCGAAATCAATAATTAATGTAAGTAGGATTCCTGGATTGTACAGTAATCGGCCGTTAGTTGAATATTAAACATCGTAATATCCTGTGTATTCAGTATTTGCTCAGTATAAGCTTGAACGTCGATTCTCCTTAAAATAATGTGCGGCGGTTTGAATGAAGCTCCGGCGCAGACTGCAGAGCCTCACCCCGTGTGCAGATGTTTACATGCCGCCTCACAGGCCACACATGATACTACAATCACAACCTCATGTCTATCTCGTTTATTATCCAGCTTCAGCGTAGGCGTTTTCATGTCAACAAAACACCTGTCCTTCTATTTATGTTGCCCATCTCTAGAGGATAACCTCAGACATAATTAGAAATAATAATAAAAAAAGATCTTTGATTGCCCTTGAAGCCATTTGGCTGTGTCAGTAATCCCGAAGTGTCAGACTGCTGCTCCACTCACATTTAATGATGTAATTGGATACATGTTCACATCATCTGTCTGTAAAGCCTTTAGCCTCTCTGTCACCTCTGTCCTCTTCTCTGTTATATGTGATGGTCTCACTGTCTGTGCTGTAGTGAGTGTGACATTGACCAACTTTTAATAATAATGTTGTTGCTCAGTCGCCTCAGAAATAACAGCAGTTACAAGGTTCCTTTACTGTTGTTAGTACAATACTGAAATGGCATTGCATTACATTGAATGACCCTATGCGTTGTCTCATGGTTGGCTATTACATAATGGTGAAGCATTGTGATTGGCTGGACGACTGGGCAAGTCTTTGGATGGATGTGTGTGTGTGTGTGTGTGTGTGTGTGTGTGTGTGTGTGTGTATCAGTGGTCCCATCTGTTTGCACGTGGTCTATGTTGACAGTGATATCAGATCTGTGGCATGTGCATGAATGAGTGCATGTGCATGTGTGTGTTTGTGAGACAAATAAAAAAGAAGACCTAGGGGTCAAACATGATGTAATCATCAAGTCCCACACCCAGTTCTTAAATAATAAGTCAAGAGATTAAAGGGTCAATGCACCCAAATGTCAAAACAGCAAACATACATATTTTCACTGCTATGGTATCTAGCCATGCAGGTACGTTTTCATTCATAGCATTGAAAAACATTTTATATTCCAAAAAACAGTGTCTTGGTTACGGTGGATAATAACACAGACCTCAGCGTGAACAGTTTAGTTGGAGCTACTTTATACTGTAGAAAGTGAATACAGGAAAAGCAAAGCTATTTGCACAGCTAGATATCACTTGAATTAGAAAAATGTTTCTTGTAATTTGGAGTGACTCACCTGTCCAAGTCCACCATATCAAGGAGGCACTGCTGTTTATTGTTAAGTGCATGTGATTGATTGACTTTAAATATACTTTGATATGATGTAAGTAGAGGTACCATGAAGCTCAGTCTGGACACAGTGAATTCATTGGTTTAACAACAGTGTTGTAGTGTGTTGTGTAGCTAGCGAGCGGGTCTGAACAAGTCTGATGTTGAGATAAGTTCTCACACTCGGATCTGATGTACAACAGAATAATGCTGCGTCATTGGGGCAGAAGAGTTCCATTCTGAGATTATCAGTAATTGATAGGTGTTAACAAAATGACTTCATCCTACTAATGTTCTCACATGGTCTGCCAAAATATAGAGCCATCTGTCCCCTAGCTGTGATAATGTGTGTGTGTGTGTGTGTGTGTGTGTGTGTGTGTGTGTGTGTGTGTGTCTGAGTCAGCACAAACAGTTGGCAGGTGGAGATTTGAAGGGGCAGTTTGTTGTGGAGATAAGACAGTGATGTCACAACTATGTTGTGCCTGTGTATGTGTTTATACATTTTTCCTTTTTCCAATGTTAAAGATTTTGGTTTCGATACACCTCCCAATATCCTCTTAACATTTACTAACTATCCATTTCTCCAGAGTGCTCCTACTTCCGCTTTATTTTATTTTCCTTCAGAATTTCACTCTTTTTCTCATCTTCTTACCTTTTCATCATCTCTTTATGCCTTTTTCTCTGCCTCTTTCTTTTGTCTTTTTTCTCTCTTTCTTTCTCAATCTTTGTGCTCACCTTTCATTCTTTGTTCTTAGTGTTTTCTTTCCTTTTCCTTTGAATGGGTTCCGTCCATCTCATTTAGCAAATTCTGATGGGTCACATTAGCAATGCTTTCACCCTTGTTTGAAGCTGAAGTAACACTAATGGCTGGCAGTTTGCTAAATAGATAATGTGGCATGATCAGGCACATAATTGATTCTGTTGCATTGCACAACACTTGAAAGTGACTTTAGATATTTCGTAATGTACAAAAACGAAAACGAAAAAAAAATCTGTTTACCACCTACTCTTATTGATGTCATAACTGCAGTTGCTCCCATAGGACCATTAGCTGGTGTAGAATGTAGTCCAACATGTACATTGTTAATAATTACATAGATTTCCTATGTTTAAGTATTTTCATGAAAGAATGAAATATCTACTTATTTATTAATAAGTATAAACCATACTTTTGATTTCTCCTGGACACTGAATGTATTTTCTTACTATTCTCTCTCTGATCACCAAAACAACAACCACCCATCTCGCAGCCCAGTGAATGCATTTCCCTGTCTGTGTCTCTCTCCAAGGCCATGTTTGGCATTCTAGACAGAGAGCATTAGAGGCTATGGATCAGAGAGACTGGCACAGCACCACATGATTACTCTTGTCCCAGATGGAGTGTATTTTGCATTACAAAAATATACAAACCGTCTTCTTTTTTAATTTTTAGGAAAAGCTGAATGTTTTCCCATCCATGCACCCACATTCCAATCACAAACACCACGCTGAGCAACGCCACAAGAACACTGTCATTGTTTATGGTTTCAGCAAAGATTGCAAGGTTGGCTTGCCTGTGTGGGCAGTCATTGGACTCAGTGGATCAATAATTTATTTTAATGTGGCAGAAAGGTCTTACACAAAACATCTCATCGGTCAAGAGTTTGATCCCCGACAGTCAATAGGTCCATTGAAGGTGATTTGTCCTGCCTGAGTGTGTTGCTGTGCATATGTAGATAAAACCTAATTTAATGGACAAAAAAAGTCGTCTCTGTGGAAAAGTAATCAACCAAAACTCTCCCTCCCTTTTTCCTTCCCTGTCTGCCTCCAGTTACAGACCATGAACTATGTGGGTCAGTTGGCAGGCCAGGTATTTGTGCAGGTCAAGGAGCTTTACAGGGGACTCAACCCTGCAACACTGTCTGGATGTATAGACGTCATCGTGGTCCGGCAGCCCGATGGCTCCCTGCAGTGCTCCCCCTTCCACGTACGCTTCGGCAAGATGGGTGTGCTGCGGTCTCGTGAGAAAGTGGTGAGATTATAGAGCGCTGCCTCCCTCACACTTTCACTCACCCTCTTTTTCTTTTTCATCTGCATGTACAGTGTAGTTTTGTCAGAGACTGTTGCTCACACTTCTATTCTGACAACAGCATAAGTAAAAAGTTTGGCATTCAAATGTGTCGATACTTTTCATGACAAATTCACACTTTGCATTAAAATCAAGATGACATTTTATGTGTAACACAGTAATGTATTTCAGTAGGCCAGAAATAGGTAGTAGGTACTAGCTGAAAATCAAACGAAAAGTAAACAAAAGTATTGCATTACAATGCTGCATTATAGTACAGTAAAAGTGGATGACAGCACATCACCCCCAGCACTGAGTACTGTATGTATGCATTTTTACATCTTTGTGGGTAAGTTAAAAGTGGCACACACAAAAATACGGTAATTGCTATCTGTTAGATGAGATAGATAATTGTTGATAAATTTATTTAGCTGAATTTCAGGAGCAGGACCACGCCTCAGCCACTCGCCCACTTCCGGCCACACTCCTACAAATACCTACCCACTCTAAGCCTCAGCTGGCTCGTGCTTTCTGCATCCCACCCTCCCTCCCTCTTGTTAAACCATTCCACTCAAGGTTATCTCACCCCATAGTCATCATCCTCCTATCCCACATGGAGACCGGGGGATCTGCAAGGCCCGGGAGCCGCAGTGGATCCTCAGCTAAGCCTCCCCCAAACCGCTACGGGCTAAATCTCCATCAACCATTCCTCAACACTCCAAATAATCGACGAAGGTTTGCCCTCGGCCGAGGCGGGGTCCTAAGCTAGTGAATACATATTTATGGAACTAACAGTCACTGAATGTGTCGATTCAAAATCCTAAAATGATGGTTGTTTTTCACGTCATTAATATTGAAAACATGCTAATTTTAAGGATTATTATTCTCTCCTGCAGGTGGACATAGAAATTAATGGAGAGCCAGCGAGTTTGCACATGAAGCTGGGAGAGAATGGAGAGGCCTTCTTCGTCAAAGAGACTGAGAACACAATGGTGAGTAATAATTGACAGTCATTACACTGAGTCAGTTAACACAAACACTGTTTGGGCCCTCTGTCAAAATCCTTAACCTAACTTTTCCAACGCAGAGTGGAAAACTATCAGAGGGCTATTTATAGCTCTGCCAAATTCACCTTCCCGATAGTCGGTTGCACACGGACTGCACTCAGGCTTAGATAGGCAGACAGCACTTGCAATAGATACTTTACTGTACAGTACTAAAGCACAGATGAACATGCACCAGATGTCAGATATGGCAGCTTGAGGGTTGCCATAGTATGGTCTGTTTCAGTATCAAATGATTTATCTTCCATCAGTGTTTTTGCTCCATCTGTCTCTTAACAGTTATTGTCTCACCGTTTAAGGAACTATTTGGCATCAAACCAAATCTTCTATGCCGCTTCTACCACCCCTCCCTCTTCTCTCTCCCTCTATGTTCCTCGGGGGGTAAAGTTAAATCTGAGAACATGTTGCGGCTTGTGAATTCGATCATGCACAGGAGACATGAACTAAATGATCCAGCAGGAATTCATCTTCAGGCTAAAACATCAGGAATCTCTGAATATGTTTGGTAATACAATCCACATGATGTAATTTTTCTCAATGTTGTTACATTTAAAACCTCTCTCTAGTAATCTCAGTTATTAGATTCAGTTTTTTGCAGAAAATCATATTAATAGAAACAACATCTCTGGTTTTGAAAAGAAGAGTTATGTTAATTTATTAGTTAAAAGATTGAGAATGAACCATCCAAAAGCATTTAAATGAACGCTCTGAGCAGTTGAGCTGTGACGTGCCCATCTTGAGCTCTGTCCCTTTTTCTCTCCGGTCAAAATGAATTGAGTTGTGTTGGACTGTGTCACAACATGTGCACTGCGAGGCCGGTGTCAGTCTGCACTCTTGGGATCATCTCTTTATGTTTCCCTCTCTGTCTCTATGTCTCTTTAAGTCATATTGTGGTGAGACTGTGAATCTGTGTGATTTCACTAATCTGAGCTCAAACCCAAATTCCCAACAGATTGTGTAGATGGTGGTGTACACATATTATGCATAGTTTATTTTTTGGCCAAGCTGCTTGTCTCCGAGGATGGTCATATCTATCTCAATGATGTGGATATTAAAGGGATTTGCAATTTTGTTCAGACATCCATCGTTCTCATGCTTTCCCCCCAGCAACCTGTTTACATTTGTGGTTTTAATTTTAATGTCTCAACAACTATTCAATAGATTGCCATGAAATTTGCACTTGCATGTTCCCCTCAGGATAAATTGTAATCACTTTGGTGACCGTGTGACTTTTCTTTTAGCACCATCATCAGGTCAAAATTAACAAAATATCTGCTAAAAACTGATAACATTCCCATTAGCCTCAGCTGTACTTGAGCTCATTAGCAAATATTAGCATGTTAACACGCTGAACTTGGTGGAGAACATGGTATAAAATGTATACCTGCAGAGAATCAGTATGCTAGCGTTGTCGTGAGCATGTCAGCATGTTGACATATCAACATTAAGCTCAAAGCACTGCTGTGCCAAAGTACAGCCTCGCAGAGCAAGGCCGAATACTCTTAGTCTTGTTAAGCCATTCTAGCCATTCTAGTTTCTCAACAACTACTAGATGGATCGGCATGACATTTGGTAGAGATATTCACGGTCCCAAGAGGCCCCTTTCACAGCAGCCGTTTTGACATGTCATTGCAGGGTAAATACAGGTGTAATTGATGAAGGGAATTAAGGTCCCATTCTATTCAGTGCGTCACAGCCATGCACAATGGCATGTACAAATGGCTGCTGTGAAAAGGGCCTAGTGAATAAAGCCAAATTATTTTAGGGATCTCCTGACTTTTCATCTATCACCATTTTTTCCCCAACTTTCATTAAGCCAGTAAAGGCTGTGCTGTACTGTTCCTTTTGTTTTGTGCTATATTAGCAAATGCTAACACACAAAACATCATGCCTGTTGAACACATGTTAGCATTATCATTGTGAGGATGTTGTCATGCTAGTATTAGCATTTAGTACTACTGTGCCTAGCTACAGCAGCTTCACACTCTTTATACTCCACTTTATCTTTGTACTCTTTCCCACATGATTCCATTTCAAATTTAAGTTACTTTACATCAAATACGGTTCATTTCAGTTTGATTAGGAAGTTAATCATGATTTCTGACGATATCGATGACCTTGTATGCTAATGTCACATTTCTATGTTGACAGGAAATAGTTCCGTCCTACCTAGCAACGTCACCCATCATTTCAACGGGGGCAGAGTTAATGGAGTCCCAGTTAGGCAGACGCAGTTCTCGTCACCATGGTAAGACCTGTTGGAAAAAGAAGATGTGGGAATTTGTGAAAATGTGTGTGTGTGTGCTTTTTTAACAGTTTTCATGCCACTCTATCACATCACATAGACATCATCCCCTGCAGCTCACTTCCTGTCCAGAGCCTAGGAATGCAGCAAAGTGATGGCGGGATGATCAAGAAGAGGAAGAAGAGAAGGAGGAAGATACGGCCAGAGGCAGGCGGAGGAGGAGGGAGGAGAGAGGAGAGCGGGGAAGAGTTCTCCGAGGACCAGGATATGTTCACTATTGACCTGAGCTCGGATGAGGAGAGAGAGGGTGACAACAGGTGTGTATGTGTGTGTACAAGTGACAGATTGTTTGATTGTGTGTTTCGGTTTGAACATTTTAGGCTGTCAGGATTGACATGAAACTAAAAACTACCTTAGTATACCTAGTATGTCTGAGCCAACAGTTGCTGTCTGTTGTACATCTTTGTAGACCATTAGGACTTTGAAAAGGTCTTCCCTCCATGCCAGTCTGTGTTGTTGTTGCTGGTGTGTGTGTGTGTGTGTGTGTGTGTGTGTGTGTGTGTGTGTGTGTGTGTTTGTGTGAGAGAGAGAGAGTGAGAGAGACAGAAAGACAGAGACAGAGATAATTAAATGCCAGTAAGTTAACATGCTTTCATTGCTGGTGTGAACAACTGTCATGCTAAATACTGTAATGTGCGTGGTTACAGTCAAACATACTGCAAAAGTAGTTTAAAAAGTAAGGATGAGATATACAGACTGTTCTTCCGGACATTTTAATGAGCATAAACAAAACCACTTGTTTTGGACTTGCTGAGACACCATGTATTCATATAGTATGGTGTGTGCACAGGCTGTGAAGTAATGTGTGTGTATGCATATAAGTGACATCTCCCTGCATGTGTGTGTTTGTGTTCAGACCTGTGTATGGTGATCAGGGGTCTACAGCCAATACGCACACACACCACAGCAATGATTGGATCCGTTCACAGAGGTATGACTTTGACACAAATCACATCGAGATACACACTTAATGATGAACTTGTTCTTGTCTTTTTTAACTGTCTGGTAAACTCTTCCTATCCTCCATTCAGGATTTTTTTCTGTTCATATTATACAAAGCATTTTTAATACATTTTGAGTAGATAATAATCATGATTCATTGTCTCTCACTCTCTCTCCATCTCCTCGTCTTCTTTCTCTGTTTTTGTGTGTCTTTCTATGTCTTCTTATCTTCCTGTAGTTACATGATTAAGGACACTCTCTTAATCCCTCCACCCTGTGGTCTGTCCATCTCTTGTCCTCAGAAGACTTCTCTCTTCTCCAGTCCTGTTAGGTATCACCTACATGTTTACCCTCTCTGAATGCTGGAAATGAAATAATGCATTAATCAAAGAAAAGCTGACAGTTTGCAGAAAAGAAGATATAATATTTGGAAAATATTAAATATGCATGGTATATTAATATTTCTGCTATATTTTATTTAGTTTTTAACTGTATTATGTATATTGAAGGTACTTTATCCGTTAAAATATGGAGTACAAATGGATATAATCAAGTGTCTTTCACTTTCCCATCAGCCCCGACAATTCTAGGTCATCAACACCAAAGAGCGACTCAGAGCTAACCAATCCGAAAAAAGACAACCCTGAGATGTTGTGGACCTGGGGGGAGCTGCCACAAGCTGCTCAGGTATTTACACACACACACACACACACACACACACACACACACACACACACAACAGAAAGCACTTCAGCATGTTTACATATTTTATTCAGATTTCAAAACCATATACGTGTTGTAATGAAATAGTCAGGCACATCTCCAACCATAAAATGAAAATAAAATAATAATTTACGTCGTTGTTTTTGTACAAATTAAACAAATGAGATATAATGTGTTTATTAGTGAGCTTTAGAGTTGCTGGTAGGTGGATTTTGTTACCAATGAATAGAAACAGTCTGTTTCTCCCTATTTCCTATTTCTTTATGCTAAGCTAAGCTAAAAGGCCGCTGGCTCCAGCCATATATTTATTCATGGGTGGTATCAATCTTCTCATCTAAAAGAAGCAAATAAGAGTATTTCCCAAAATGGAAAAATAAATGGAGATAAGGAAAGTAAACATACTTGAACACACAAAACAAAAATATTGTGAAACAAGTTTGATCTCTCTCTCTCTCTCTCTCTCTCTCTCTCTCTCTCTCTCTCTCTCTCT